ATAATTGTGGAAGTGGATAATGTTACCTACTCCCACGCATACTTGAAAAAATATTGTATATATCAAATGACGTAACCTAAACAATCACAATCGTCTCCATATTTGTTTTAATAATAACCGTCCACTAGGCATCAATGTAGAGGTAAATGTGCGAAACTTCCAATAGCGATCGTCTCTTGGATAAAAACACGGCAGGCCAAGTCGAGCCGGCGAGTAGCCTCTCCCGGCGAAGAACGCGCGGAGCACTGTAACTGCACAGGTGGGGTCTTCATCGCTGCAGCGCCGGGCGCCGGTGAAGACGCTCGCTGTGGGTCCCCTCGCTGCGCGGCGGCGGCGGTGGGTGCGCGGTGCGTGGCCGTTGGCAGCGGAGGTTCCTCTTGCACGCACGCGCGCGCGGGGCGGCCTCTTCGCTCACTGAGGGCCCCTCGCCCAGCCCTCTCGCCCCGAACTCCGCCGCCGCCGTCGCCGCCACCGCGCGGCTGATGCAACAGGGGGCACCGTCTCGTCACCCGCTCGCGCCGCCGCCCCTCCCACACCTTCCCACGCGCGGAGATTCCCTCCAGCAACACGGGAGTTCATTTCCCCCGCCTTGTTAATACTTACACGTTTTGTCTCCCATAATGTTTAGCTAATTAAATTCTAACTCAAAAGTAAAAATGTCAACCCGCAACAGATCATTTAAAGTCGCAGTTAATATGAGGGGATGCTGTCATGACCGTCCATTAACTCCACTTTTTTAAAACAACCATTTTATGTCGTGTGTTTTATGTTGTTTTTTATGTGTCGATTTTTGAAATTTTTGGGTGAAATCTTGGCGCTCTGACGGCCATTTGCTGAACCCTCTCCCCGAACTCCGCCGCCGTCGCCACCGCCATCTTGTGGCTGATGCAACCAGAGTCACCGTCTCATCATTCGCTACCGCCCCACCTCTCCCACCCTTTCCCACGATAATCACTTCGCCCTCTTGCGAGATGAAAACGTTAGCACCCCTCTTTATCAAAATCTCATAAATTTTGTCTCACGATTAAGTGCATATTCCGAACCATAATTAAAAATGTTGACCCACAGTAGACCATTAAAAATAGAAGTTAAAAGAGATAATATTGTCAGAAAATACCCTGATTTTTGAAATTCAAATTTTTGAAATGCTCTTCTTGGGACTAAAATTTTGAGTAAAAATGAGCCTTTATATGTTCAAAAGTTTGCCGTAATTCATTTTCAGGGACATTTGATTATAAGACTTTACACGTGATGTCTAATGAGTACTCTACTCTTTATTTTCCATTTTTTCGTGGTATGCTTGATATGGGTCGATTTTCACTTTAAGGGACAAATTATTCGTTGCAGTTATAGAGACATCTCGAATATGAATCTTCGCCCGTAATTCCCCCTCCGCCTCTGCCTGCTCAGCCGATGCAACCGGGGGCACCCAACCGGGTTTACTCAGCACAGTCGTCACAGAGGTACCATGTGCATATGTCCTTGCTCAGAAATGGGGTTGGGGTGCGCTAGTTTAAAGTTACCTGTGCCTTCAGGCCAATGTAGTTCATCCATCCACTATATTAAGTAAATGAAAGCTAACACTCACCTGCAAAGTGGTAATCCCAATAATCTGGTTAAAAACCTCGACCATGCTTCTCGGAAGCTTCTAGAAGAGCGCTTTCTGATAAGAAACTGAGTCGTTTAAGAGAAAACTGACCCGAAAGATGAATCCAAAATTTAGGAGATTCGGGCCTGCGCAAATCATGAATACGCACTGTCGAAGAGCGCATAATGCAGTAGCGATGTCTACTATATCAACATCTAAATTTGAAAAATGCCAAAACCCATTTGAATTTTTTTAAAGAAGTTCATCCCTATTGAAAATATAAAATCCACAAATTTCGGCAACGGAAACAAATTTGAGTTGACCAGAATTGCGCATCTTCAAATAATGATCCTGTGTTAAATTAATGAACAGAGCAAAATGTCACTTCCTATTTACTGCCTCTATCCTTGACGTGAGTGTCAGTACTTGACATTCGTGAAATGTACGCCCTCACCTTATGAGTCCACCTAAGCAATCCAAATCACCTCCTTCTGTTACTTCGATTGATTGTGTGAGTGATGTTTCCGGGTACGTCAACTACGATGGTCATTATTCTCTTTAGTATAGTGAATGCTTTATTGCGAAAGGTGACTATTTTAATCCATCACCGGATGTTGAGATCCGGTGCCGACCTATTCATCGGCATTCGGGGGATTTTGCCTTCAGGTATCTCCCCCAGCGGGGTGCCAGTCCATCCAGGACTAGCTCTAAGCTCCCGACTGATCTCCTAACATGTGTGTTAGGAAATGAGTGTACGTGTAAGCTCGGTGTGTGTGTGTGTGTGTGTGTGTGTGTAAGTTGAGATGAAAAAACATGGAAGAAGAAGTTGCGAAACATGGAAGAACAATCGCGCGCGGTTCGTGACCCCTTGCTTCAGATAGTATTCTGGCATTCGCCTGATATTCATCAGAGAAACCAGGGAAAACTGTCGACCCGAGCAGCCGGTCGCTAAAATTCGCCTCCAGAAAACAGCTGATTTCAACCCAGCGTTGAAACTCCTTGCAACGTCGGGTGCCGAACATACAGCCTCCTGATCAGAGTCGCTGCAGAGACATCAGCAATGCAATTCCAGCCTGCGCACTTCAATGGTTGCGAAGTAAAAATAGAATATTCGTTTTTACCGTCTGCTGCCTAAGAGGTAGTGTCCTCGAAAATGTTTAGAAAATAATATTAGTAATTCTGAAATATGTTTTATAAGCATGCCTTTTACGTACTTAACAATGCATTCAAAATCCAGGTCCTTTAAATTCGATACAATTTAATATTCAGAAATAAGAAACTTAAATGTACCCTCCTCGTGTCCCTCTGCTCCTTCTTGTCAGCTGATCTTCATGGCCGAATACATACGGAACGTTCAACCACGCTGATGCAATCGCACAAGACCTCTCATCATGTGCAGTTGCGGATTCGACAGTTCCCTCTGGGGACCAAACGCTTCACTGCATTCCTTTGTCCTTGAATTTATTAAAAGGAATGTTAGGAAGCTGTTTACGTTAATTAAACGCCAACTTCACCTTCTCAGCATGTTCTCTGCCTCTTATTGTACTGTACAATCAAATAGTTTATACTCTTAGCTGAAAATGTCGTTTATTCTTATTGTAAGACATGAAAAATTAAAATAAAACGTCATGTTGACACAAGAAATACTGCAATTTCTAAGAAGTTTGTAATCATTTGAAACACTAAGTCATTAACCATAACATCGAAGTGGCAATCTAGTTGGAGATAATTGCATTTGCTTATACGTCATGATATCACGAGTTAATTTATTGTAAGTAAAGTAACTTGTTAAGAACAAGAAGTTTGACACTTAAAATGTTACATTATACCATAAATTTTCATATGAATTCATCTCCCTTTAAAAGTCACTTTATGGTATCTTCTCATTACTCACCTGCCCTTCTACCTCAAAGTCTAATATTCGCCGTCTTCGAAATTTTAGTGAAGGTGGTGGAAGTAGAAATACGCCGTTTGAAAATCGTTTATTTGGTGAGGGCTCACCGCAATCGATCGCCGAGTGCCTCGCACGAAAATGTGCTAAGGAGTAGACAACCATCTCGCCTGTTTCGTATGACGGGTCTGCCTATACTGCAGGGGGCACCTTTCCCTCCAGCATCAGGTGCCAGTGGTCAAAGCATGGCAATATTATGATGAATTAATTGTTATTAACTCTAAATTATTTCATTAGAATATGCAATAAACGTTCATGTGATGATCAAGATTACGCTTCATTTCGAAGAATCACGTAATTGAGGCATAAGATTGTGAGTGAAGAGCAATTAAGGCGAGTACATGCTTCAAAACGTTTAGTTTTAAAAATGTTTGAATTGTTGTCAGATGATTTAGACTCACTCATTTGAGAATCTGAAATATGTTAGCGTACGTATGGCTTAACGATGTGTTCTAGTGAAATGAAATGGTTCCATCTGATATATAAAAAAAGTACACTCCATTTCTGATTTGTAAAGCAATATTTTTAAATAAAAACAGAATTAAAAATTCAGCTATAATGTGTGTTTTGTGTTAAACAATCATTCACGAAATACACTTACATGGTTTCTCTAATGTTTTGACAATAAACTTGAACGTAAGTACCAACATTTGGACTTTTGGCAAATAAAACCCTTCCTGGAGAAGAATCCTTCCTTGTAGAAAGTGTAAGTGTGAATAAGTAAGGGGTAAAGATAGGACGAGGAAGAGGAAGAAAATTTTCCCACGCGGTCCGTGACACTTTGTTAGGGTACTACTACGACATTCGCCTAGTATTGATCGGAGAAGCCACAAAAATCGGATATTGATCGGAGAAACCACAACCGATCAGAAGACCGCTAGAATTGTCCTCCAGACCGCGACTGACCTCGTAGCTAACTAGCTAGTATCGAAAATCCTGCCAACGCCGGAACCTGACTTAAGACTTCTCGGTCAGAGGCCGTGCAATGACATCAGTTGATGCCCTGAGCCACCTCCTCCGGTCTTTTCGTTGCGGATAATGAAGAGGCGGTTAAACCTTAGTTTCGCCCACCGGCACTCTCACCTTGGGCGGCGCCACGTCATCGGCGGGCATGGAACGCCGAGGCGGGGCCGAAGCGGAAGAGACGGTAGAGGTGGACGGGTGGCGTGCGGCCACCCGAGGCGAGGGCCGCTGGGTGGTCACCGAGCGGGTCTCTCACTTTAGAACTTGCGCTTGCTTTCATTTGACAGTTATGGTGTTTTAGCGTTTGACCCCTGCCTGTTTATACTCTACATTCTCCAATGTTATTCTGTCTCCATCCGGCTGTTTGGAGCTTCTACTGGATTACTGTGTCTTGGTTGTGACGGTACATCTCCTTTGTTTTTTGTAAACCTTGTCTGCCCTGGTACAATTTTGGAAGCCGATTATAAAAACTTGCTTTTTAATCGTGGAATTTGAGTGCGATGCCCTTTCCATTTTCCCGCGTGCGCGCGACGATGTCCGCCCTCCTGCCCGGGTGTGGCTGATGCAAGGCGCGCGTCTGTTGCAGGGGACCCCACCATCTTCGGCAACTTCGGGCCGCCGCCAGAGGCCGTGGCGGCCGTGCGGGAGAGCCTGGACTCGGGCCGCTACAACGGATACGCCCCCTGCGCCGGTGAGTCGCTGCCTGGGCTTCCGTCGGGCCATTTGTTGACAGGTTCTACAGCGGTTTAATGTCGCCGAATGCATCATTGCTCTCCCATACGAGCGAGCGTCAGATATTGATACCCACTACGAGTTCAGAGCGTGCAGGTTGAGGTTAGAGATAGTTTTCAAGAGGTATTTATATTGTTTTGCTATTGACACTAAAATAAAGAACCGATGCAAATCACATAAAAAACCGATGAAATGATGTATGCGTGAGAATTAAGTCATCAAGCTGACTTAAACGGACAGGCCAAAAAGCACATAATTTCAAAGAGCCCTAAGAGAGTTGTTTCCTTTTAATTACGATTTAATTAAATCTACAGTAGTCTTCATTTTATTCATAGAATTAAGTATGTAAATAAATTTGTTAAAAAAGTGTTAGGAGTTCTTTTCTTCCTCTCTATTTTCATGAATACATTTATTTCAAGCATTCTTCAAATGGTGAAATGACAAAAATTATAGGAAATATCACCGCCCCAGTACTTGTTAGCTAACGTTTTTGAAATGAATGTGAATCACCTCTACATATTAGTGCCCAACCATGCCCTCCAATCGACTTAGTTTTTAAACTCTGTTAGTCACACTTTTTAATAATTTGTTTTTGTGAAAAAATTAAAGTTTCTTGAGTATTTATTTAACATAATCGTCTATTTGATAGCAAAAAGTAATTAGTTGTATCTATGACGTAACCCCGCTGTAGACAGGCAATTCGGCAATCAAATTTTTCTGTTTTGTCAATTTTTTTTATTCGTGACATACGGTTATAAATAACCGTTTTAATTTTGTTTGATATGATTGAGTGCCAAAATAACCACTCACATGAATTAACAGAGTACACCGTTTTCATTAGCGTCAGCCCACGCACCGTCAACCGTGAAAGCAAGGATGAATTCGGTGCATTGATGTAGAAGAGACGTATGGAAGACGAGGCTTTCTTAATCAACTTTTCTACCTGCCTCACAGTAGCTACACTCGTGATATGAGAATTCCAATCTATAAAGCATTATACAACAATAAAATGACGTGACTACATATTCAACTTCTCATTTTTCTTCTCCTGGCAGGTCTGGTTATGCGATGTGCGCTGTTTACTTCTTCTTTCAAAGCAGTGACATAGAGCAGGGTGCCCAACTTTACTGACAGAGACTTGCTATCTTTGAGAGTAGTCTGATTCAGGTCGGTTTTCTCGCGTTCTTATTGTGGGCGTACATTTAGGAGGTCGTATCACTTAACACAGGCCTGCACAACATTTTGCACTTTCACTGACCTCGGGAGCCACGCGCGAACCAATCGAGTGCAAATGCGCAAAGGTGAAGGGTGGGGGATAAGACTCATTTTAGGAGTGGGGCAACAAATGAGAATGAGAAATTCGAACAGTAGCGCATAATTTCAAAGAGCGATTGGGGAGAATATAGCGGACTGTTATATACAGTTTCAAGTAATATTGCCTTTTGTATAACATTGGAAATGTTTGTTGTCGATAGATGACAATGTAAAATATGAACCTAAACCGAATTAGACATGCATATGTTTTGATTTGGACACCAAGTATTATAATTGCTTATAGTGCTAATAATGTAACTCTCCTGTAATCACAAATTCAGTGTAGTGCTAAAGAAAAAATGTGATATTGAATCATTTTTGTGTGAAGATTACAGTAATAACTTTTTATTAACTATTTTTAATTTAATAAGACAGTTTGATGAAAACTAGAAAATCGTATTTAAAAAAAATATTACGTTTTGCTCTAAATTCTGACAGAGTACATGATATATTTCTAAAATCGAAACAACGAAAAGTATTCATCATAATTTACCACATCGCATAAAAATATATCAAAATATTTACAGTCTATTTAACAATACTCGTAATAATCTCATGATTGCCCTAACATATCGTCCAAGAGGTTTGCTTGTCGGTATCTCGTTTAGCTTTTGTTATCATTTGAATAATTTTTTACATTCCTGATGAAAAATCAATTATTAAATTGTGTCTGTCACATGATTTTGAGACCAAAGATTCATGTAGCTTTTCCTAGAAAATACTGCACGAAATTTTACATTAGATTAAAAATTTCAAAATAGATAAATATAGGGGTAATTTCCATTTCTGGAGAAATTTCCACAACAGATATAAACATTTATGCCTTCACGCACGATTAACGTTCTGTCTTTTGTCTGCAGGGTACAAAGAAGCAAGAGAAGCTGTCGCGAATTACGTGTCATATCCAAATGCGGAAGTGGAGTTTAAGGTGAGTACCACTTCAAAAGGCAGCATGAAATGATCAATTTGTGAAAGGAAACTCTAACAAATGTGTAAAACAGGCCAGTGGCCTGCAGCAGCCAAAATGCTGTTGAACAAAACCACACAAAATAATTTGCAAAAAGTAGCACGCACATACCTCAAGAATAACAAATAAAACAATCTCGTAGAACACTGCAACATATTGGATACTTTAAGAAAAATAGTCTTCAGAATACAACAATAATTTTCCAATTACTTCAAAATTTCGCTACACCGCCACCGAGATAAAAGCAACCTACTACACCAATATGACCACAGCAGCGGAAGTTCCCAGAAACACCCGCGAATCCTTATGGCCACTTCCCACGTCGCGACGGCTGTGCGCTTCCGAGCGCCGCGGCTCGTAGCAGAGCATTGGTTTGAATGTGCAGCGGGCGGGCGCGAGGGGGAGGGAGAGGCGACTGTGCGCCGAGCGCGGTGCGTGAGCGTGGGCGTGGGCGCGTTCTGCGCAGGACGTGGTGCTGTGCAGCGGCTGCTCGTCGGCGCTGGAGATGTGCATCACGGCGCTGTGTGACCCCGGGCAGAACCTGCTGGTGCCGCGGCCTGGCTTCGCGCTCTACCGCACGCTCGCGGAGTCCATCGGCGTGCACATCCGCTCCTACAACTTGATGGTGAGGCGGCAGCAACAGCAATTATTCATATTACGTCCTTTTATTTGAAATATGTAGCTGGCTGCGGTTGATAAAATAACCACTGCTATTTTATGTAATTTATTAGTAAAAATTAGTCAATACTGTACAATATGAATATGAAGGTGAAGATAGATACGTGAACCAACTTAAATGACAAATAATAATTGATATAAATTATGGCTTAACTGTTCAAAGAATTGACTGCACCAATCGGGAATTACACTCAAACCTCCCGGTATACGCCAAGTTGCTTTAAATACTGAGCTTATTGATCAAAGTAACTGAGTGTGTATCGGAGTTTCAGGTTCGATTCCTGGCTTCAGCATTCAATTATCTCAATGATCAAACCATACTTTATAACAAATACATCATGTTTACTAGCTATGGGGTATTGCAACAGTAGTTCACAATTGTGAAACGAAAAAAATATTTCCAAGTAATTGTTTAACTAAATTTCCAAGTAATTATAACGATAACTACCATTATAACGATAACGATAATGATAATGATAACGATAACTATAATGATAACGAAAACGATATTGATAATGTTAATGAAAAAGCACGATAGGTCAGTAGTTGGCGGCTGGGTGTGCATTCTCATGATGCAACACGCACTTCGAGGCATAAATCTGCGTATATAATAATAGATGTGGTATTATTTATATTTATTTAATATTATAAAAGCAATATAATAATATACTAATATATACAGACCAATGAATGCTGAGGAGCTCTAGTCAAACAAATGAGAATAAAAAGGATGTGGCATTATGGGGATTTAGTGCACTCTGACCCCAGAGTAAGGAACTTGTACCATTTGGACCATGGTGAAAAGAACTGGGGGAGCTATTAAGCATCTTATCGGACTTCAGCCAATGAGCTTCAGGTACCAGTTTGCGTCACAATTATTTTCAACAACATATTTTTGGTTGAACACCATTGAAAATGTTCACGTTACGGCACTTTCAAAATGTTTCTCAACACTTCTCGCTGTCGAAGCAACATGGCGACCGACGTCTGGTCTGGCTTTTCAAGCGAAGGGTTCGTGCTGTGGTCACGTGGTTCGTGACGCAAACGTGCGCTGAGCAGAACGAGCAAAAATCGGTTCGCCGGAGTAGCTAACTCATATCTTTTCACCATGATTTGGACCTAAACGTTTGTGCAAACCCTCTTTCTCGACTTCCCTGATATCGATATTGCCGTCGATTGCTACAACGCTCCGTCGTGCCAAAGTGCCTAATGTTATATGATGTAGCCAAACTCATGATTTGGGTTGTGGGGGTGACGCCGCATGGAAGGCTGAGGTTTCGACCGCGGTCTTCTTCAGAGTTAGTTGGCACTACAGCTCTGAAGAAGACCGCGACATGTGGGTCGAAACGTCGGCAGCCCAGCGCGGCGCGTGGGCGTGGGCTTGGGCGTGGCGCTGATGTCGCGCGGGGCGTGTGGCGGTGCGCAGCCGGAGCGCGGCTGGGAGGCCGACCTGCGCCACCTGGAGCAGCAAGCGGACGCGCGCACCGCCGCGCTGCTCATCAACAACCCGTCCAACCCGTGCGGCTCCGTGTGGCGCCCGCAGCACCTGCGCGACCTGCTGCAGCTGGCGCGCCGTCTGCGCCTGCCCGTCATCGCCGACGAGATCTACGAGCACCTGGTGAGCGCCCCTTCACTCACTCACTCGCTCACTGGTGAGGCAGCCCCCGCCGCACCCTTCAACACTTCTCGTTCATTCCGAATCTGGTGAGGCAGCGCTCCCTGCCTACTCTTAGCACCTCAATCCCTCCTTTATCCACTGAGAGCACTCTCGCTTTTCACCATTCACTGAATACCGAGTGTGACAACGTCCCCCGCATAACATGTGGACATTGAGTTCACTCATTCTTTCAGCAATCGGTGAGACACCCCCCTTCACCATTTAACATTTCTCATTTATTCAGCATCTGGTGAGGCAGCGCTCTCTACCTACCCCTCTTAGCAATTCAATCACTCATTCATCCACTGTGCACATGTTGATGCAGATCGCTATCTCTTTTGACTTATCTCATTGAATGGCAGCGCCCCCTACATAGCCCATTGGACTGAAATCATTCATTCATTCATTCATCCATTACGTACCTATAGATACAGCGCCTTCTGGTACCTCTAGCACTTCCTTCACTCAGTATTTCATTCATTCATCCGTTTGACCACTTAATGAAACTGCGCGCCCTCACGTTTTAACACTCACTAATTTCATTCATACGCACCTATTTACGCATTTGTCCATTATTTTTTAAAATTTTTGTTTATTAGTTTCACGAATACCTTTTTTAAAACTGATAAACTACTTAGTGATACATTGTACTACATTATTTATATTTCATTAAATACTTAAAAATAAGTCAATTGTGATTACATTAATTACTAAACATTTGTTATTAAATATTTTTGCGCGTGAGTTGTGCTCTGTATAGTTTTTAAGCGATTGTGTGCATAAACAGGTACTCCTACAACTTACACCTAAAGATTTATTTATAATGATTCTAGTTTATCTGATTTTCTGTATTCATGTTACCGTTCACCCAGAAACATGCCTAAACTTCAGAGTTGTAAGCAGTCTATGTGAAGCAATGACTTGCGATGAAGTCCTCGTTATCTCATCTTCAACTTGCATTGTCTCTTATTGACATCTTTGTGTGCAGGTTTTCCCCGGAGAGAGGTTTGTCCCTATGGCTTCGCTGACTTCTGAGGTGCCCATTCTCTCCTGCGGAGGTCTCACAAAGAGGTTCGTAAAATTGAAATATGCTTCAGCCTGTAATTTTAATAAACCAAGTAACTAGAAAACATCAACAATATAAATTTCTTCAAAATAACCCAAGATCTGTATAACCTTTTAAACATGTGTTGAACAGTTTTCCCTGTCGAATTCATAAAGTTTAAACAATTTTTAAACGTTTAAATAATCGTTAAATGTCAACCATTTTCTCCCCTTTCTTATTTGCAAATATCTAGTTTTTTTTTACTTTTATGACATTTCTGCCAACAGTTTTATGTAGCATGCCCTTATCGTGATCGCTAGTCCTTCGCTCGTTTGCTCTCCTCGCATCTTCTCTTATCGACGCTCAGGAAAGTAGATGCAACATCGTGTAACATCCACAGCAACAGTATTTTCCAAGCAACATAATAGCTCTGTGTACGAAAAACCTCTCCCGATGCATGTCAAACGCACATATGGCCCAGATCTTAATAGCATTTCCTTTTCATCTGAATTTGCAGACGTATCCCTTATCACAAAGGTCTCTAACGTGACGTTCTGATCCATTGTCAGTGAAGAACATGAAAATTGCATTTGTACGATGCACTAGAGTGCATTGTTTCGTTATTTTTATGACACCACAAATGGTCATAGAAACGATGGAATTATTTTAAAAAACATTTGAAATAATAATATCGTGAATAAAGCACAACTATTATAATTTTTATGACATTCAAAAACCGAAGGACAAAGGGAGAAACAGTGAAACGCACCCAAATCTGAATCGAAATTTCTCCACCAACTTAAAAGCCAAATTATATATCATGATATCTAACCTAATCTATGACACTCTTGTTTTTTCTCACACTCCGGAAGAACACGAAAAACATATATTTATTTGGATTTATTAAAATGACATTGGGAAAAGGATCAAGTAAAGAAGAATTTTTATAATACAAAGCAAATAATATTGCATTGTCATTACGCAAATTTTAAAAATCTCAAGAGACCAAATATATTTTAACAAACTTATGATCACAATAACAAATTTTCAAAATTGTATACTACTAATAGTACTTCGCAATATTCGTCCTGTTAGGGCAACTGAGGCGGCCAACATACATTTCTTAGGGCAGATTTCCACTTTAAGCATGGGGATTTGTGTCTAACCTACAAATCACACTGGTGTATCAAATTTAAGTTCAACAAACTAAACACTTTAATTCTCCCTTCTTGAAACGCAGCAGCTAAGTGCATGCGGCGGCGATGATGTAACAGCGTATCGGTAAGTTTATATGGCGGTTTATATGGTTGGTTCAAACCCAATCGAAGCCGTGGATTTTTAAGGGTGAAAAAATCCTTCGTAGGCCTCCCTTAGGAAGGGAAGTAAAGCCGGCGGTCCCACGTTGGTAGATTTACTTGCATATAAGAGATCAAGCCTAAATGACGCCTAACTAAATTCAAATTACCTGTTTCGTCGCCCAAGAAATACCTTCTTTCTCTGCTAGTGGGTGAAAAGAGCGTATTGCGAAGAGAGAAATTTGCGTGGTCAGACGGAAGAGCAGGCCAAGTCTCGCCACGTAAAATAAGGTATCAATTCAATTCAAATTGGAAAATGGTGCTGACATCCGTTTATTCGTTAACGACGTCAGTATAGGAATGATTACTGATAAGTTGTGTGACGGAAGTTCGGTTTCACTTAATGTTTCACTGCAGGAGTTTAGCCATAAACTACTAAACTAACTGTCATAAAACTACTACAATAAATCTGTTCAACTTTGTCAAACTTCTTCAAGTAGTCCGTTTGGATAACACGGAAACATTCACGTCACCTTGTCTTACGTGAACAACGTGGAGTGAACTGCAAACCGCTGGCCTTGCCGGGCGCTGTAGATTAAACTGAACAAACTTCGCGTCAGACCGAAGTAAAAGGAATTAAAAGAGCGGTGTTTTCAGGTTCATGGTTCCTGGATGGAGAATGGGATGGATCGTCATCCACGACCCCATCGGAGCCTTCAGCGACGAGGTAAAGCAGAACACGGCAAAGGGCGTGAGTGAGCTAGTAGGTAGTGTTTTGGGGCACGTCTAGGGCTCTGGTCAATAGTCCTCCGAGTGTAGTACAAACTGATGGTGGTGTTCCTCCCCCACTGGAACGTGAGTTCTGGCTTCCGGCGTTTTCCTCTTTACGTATCTCCCCATCGGGGAATCGCCCCAGCTGAGACAAGATCTAAGCTCACGGTTGTTACCTCAACATGAATAATAATGTAGTGCAAGCAAGTGTGTGCGTGCGTGTGTGTGTGTGTGTGTGTAGGAGGGAAAAATAACGAGGAAAGGGAAACCGTGTGCTTACGTTAGGCCTGTCTGAAAGCGTTAAATTAAAATTAATGATAAAAATAAAATTAATAAATTAAAAGCATTTTAATGTAAGGTATAGAATTTTCCTGCCTGATGCACCTTTTCAATAATTAATGAAAATAGGGTAGACTAGAAATATAAAGATAAAATGTTCAGTAAAACTTCTCAAATTTAATCATTAAATTAAATACAATAAAGGCAATCATCTCTTCTGACGCTATAGTCCCATAGAAACGCAAAGAAATGAGAACTCTCAATTCCAAAAGTAATTGATTAAAACTACACTTCAATTATTCTATATCTGAGTGCAAGTAATATTAATGTAATCAAAATTCTGAAATAATTTCATAATAAATTCTTGTAAGATGATGAATTAAGGCATTAATGAGTATCGCCATTATGGCCTTTCAAGAATGTTTGACTTTATAGATTCCCACGACAGCCTAAATAATTTTCTAAAAATAATCTGAATTCCACTTACAATTCGAATGTGAAAATTAACATTGAACAAAAACGTTTATACATGACTTGTAATTGACTCAGGATTTCAGATGCCTTCTTCTCTGAGACTTTTTTCTTTCCCCTCGAAAGTACCAAGAATGACAAATATTTTTACGTCACACTACTGTACACGGAGTAAGAACATATCCGTATCCAGGAAAAGACGTGAATTATTATGATTCGTTTTTATTGCAGATTAGAAAAGCTCTGAACATGTTAAGTCAGCGCACCATTGGCTCCAACACAATAGTGCAGGGCGCACTGCCCGCCATTTTGGAGAACAAGCACAAGACCTTTTTCGAGGACACATCACGCACTTTGCAGGTGAGTTCCTAAACCAAAAACTCCACAAGATAAGTACTCTTAGACTAAAGAACTTCCCAGATCCAGAGCTCGTGAGATTTACATATATTAAACATACATTTACGAAAATTTGATAATAAAAGATAGTTAATGGGGAATCGTAATACAGGTCTAATCCCACTTTTTAATCCAAAGGGGAGAGGCCCAACGTTGTTTGTTTGTTTGTTTGTTTTTTCAAAGGATTAAATTTTTCAGTAAGCTGAAAATCATTGATATTGCTTATGATATTTTTTGTTCAAAATATAATGCCACTTTTCAGAAGTGTTTGCTAGTATTGGATTTTTTTGCATAATGCATCGGTTCTCTTCATTCTCAAACTGAAAATTAATATTGTAATTGTGTTTCAATATTGTAATTGTGGTTCACTGTAGTTACTGTAAACATCCTTCATCTGAATCTTCATATGCATGATATTTACCTGGCAATCACGAACGTTTCTCGTATTGTGCCCATCGAGTCCTTCTTAAAAATCGGTATTGATAATGAAATAACATACGTGACTTTAACTCCCACGAGTCGCAAAGGGAGCTTGCTCTCCACACGTAAAGGAATCAGGAAGCGAAAAGAAAGGAATTTTCCTTTCGATTGAATGAAGGTGACTGCTAAGGGGTTTTAGGAATTGAATTAAAAGTAGTTATAATGTTAATTCTTTAATTATTTAAAGGTAGGCATTCCATTGTGTAATACTACTCTTTGTTGAAATCTCTTTGAGACGTATAGTTAAAGTGCTGAGTGAGTGTTCTATGCGTAAAATTTGTGAAGAACACTCTCATGATGGGCTAATGTAGGTTCTTTATAGGGCATTTTCCAAATGTTTTCTGCGTAAATGCGTATTGTGAATGACGTGGATCCGGGACTAGCGCAGAGTGTGTGTTGGCAGGAGCACGCGGCGTTGGTGTTCGGGCTGCTGTCGCGCATTGAGGGCCTACGGCCGGTGATGCCGCAGGGGGCCATGTACATGATGGTGGGGCTGCGCCTGCAGGACTTCCCCGCCATCGCCTGCGAGCTCACCTTCGTGGAGCGCCTCATGGCGGAGGAGTCCGTCTTCCTTCTCCCCGGACAGGTAACCAACTCCACGATCACACCTTTACAGGAGAGCGGTGTAATGGTAGTCTAAGCAATTAGTTTATAATGTTAAGCTTTATTGCATGAGTACATGTTTTGAAAACGAGCGACGTACGGAGCGGGTTTTCGAAATTGTACGAATCCAATAAAGCAACGTTATAATGAATTGCATACACTATATTTTGTATAACAGTATTATAAATTTATAAGAAAATGAAACTTAATTTGGCGAAACAACTTTCTTGGGATGTCTCGAGTATTTTATATCTGTGCAAGAAAACGGTGGTCGGCCGTTCCGTTTACCTCCTCCTCCCCGCGATTCTCTCGCAGCGATTGGCTGAATGTGTAATGACAATCATTCGTGCCCTAAAATATACGTCATCATTTGTGCCATAAAATTCACAATTTACTCATCGTCACACAGCAACATACACATTGCAAGGAAAACGCACACTATAGATTTGACACGACTTGGAATCGAACCCGGGGCCGCGTATTGTAACTTCCTTACTAATGTGTTTTATAGTTCGTACTACTTTCAGGGGGAAATACAATTTAAATAAGGTATCAAAATGAGCATCAGTTGATGCCCAGCAATGTCTCTGACCGGCTGACTGAGCGAGTAGGTCGGCGCCAGATCTCTCATCCAGCCGTGGAAGATCACTGCCACCTCCCGCGATAAAACACGCACTAAACTTACGGTACTAATGACGTTAGCAAATGCAGACAGCACCGAGCCTCTACAATTCCGTGGAGCGACAGTTCAGATCACTGGATAAATTGAAAGGGGCCATTGCCGCAATTGTAGGGGATGATTTGCGCGTAGGGTTCAAATTTAACTTCAATTGCGCTTGTTTTCATAATTATCTTTGTTTTTGAGTGAGTGTAATAAAATTAAAAATATGGCCATTTTTAGCAATACATATTCACGTTTTTAAATGAAAGGTTTTCAATATTGACAATTAATTACTGTTGCGGAACAACACAGGTATTCCCCTTGCAATATTTCGTTCTAAAGAGTTAAACGTGGAACATTGAATTTGAACTTGGAACACTGAATTTATTCGTGAATTTAATATATTCCGGAAAACTCTTAACCATTTTATATCACGTACTATATTTTCACACAGTTACATAATATACGCAGCGAAAAGAACATATCGTTACTCTGAACAACTCACTTGCCCCTCGCACAGTCGCAACGATGTCTACGAGGTACGCACATGTCCACTACAATGGGTCTTCAAATTATTCCGCAACAGCAGTGCTCTCAGTGAGTCTAGTTTATTTCTATCCCAACGCCTTGTTCCTCCAGTGCTTCGACTTCCCGGGCTACGTGCGCCTGGTGCTGACGGCGCCGCCCGAGCAGCTGCGGGAGGCGTGCGAGCGCATCGCCGCCTTCTGCCTGCGCCACCGCCAACCGCAGCCCGCCAGCGCCAGCGCCGCCGCCGACCTCGTGGGGCTCCCATTCGTGCAAGAGCCACGCGCCGCCGCCGCCGGCGGCTACGGCAACCCCTAGCAGCGCCCCCGCCCGCCGGGTGTTCCTCGCCTTCTCTGGTGCTTGAGAAATGAAGGTTGGTTTGGTACCTGTCTCCGAATCTGAGGGGAAATTCGCCTGAAGATGGGAAAGAAATCTAGAAGACTGCGAGAATTCGAATTGACTCTTGAATTAGGTGACAAGCTTTTTTCAACATAAGTAACTCGTGCTTTACCTCGTTAACACCGGGAAACTGTTATTCGAAAATAACGGTGATTTCTGTTATTCAGAATTGTAAATTACTTTGAAAGAGTCTACAAGTGTGTTATGGCTCTCAAATTCTATCCTTCCTACAAAATATAAATAGTCTATACGTAATTCACAATGATGATGTATTTTTCTTCAGTTCTATGAAGAATTCGTGAATATTCACTATACGCTGGGGTAGGAAAATAAACAATGATTTTTGTGTTTTGTTTATTGTAACGCAAAAATTCTTTAAAAGAATACGGAACTTTTAAATATATTTTATCAAAAGCACATCAAAGAATTTCTGTAATATTTTTAACTTCTTAAAAACAATTCTATGGCATCACAAATGTCAAACAATCCAAGCTTTTGTAAAGAAATGTAATGCAAAATGTTCTGTTCAGAAGCAACCAGGAAATTTGGAAATGTATCTAACTGCTCCAGATGTGTGTAGGTATTTCAATCTAATCTTTTTTTATTATTATTTGCTTTCATGTTGTTAAGTAATTACTTAACTATTAATTTTGTACCAAGCTTTGTATTATTTTCAAAATGTGACAGAACATTTATAATTATACGCCACTATTCAAAAGAATTGTTCTGTGGAATTAGTTTTCATACACATGAAACTGTTCCCAATTGTATTTGTTAACACAAATGAATTTGCGTACATTTCATAATGTTGTCATTTTCTATGAAGATGATAAATACTGTCTTGTGGAAAAAGTCTGCCTTTGAACTTCTGGCATTTGCTGTTAATATTAGTGTCAAATAATAAGTGTCTGTTTGTTCTGTCAAGGTTGATGTGTGATTTACAAACTAATGACATCAAGGTGAGGGCTGATCTAGATGTCTCTGAAAATAAAGCACAGCACTATAAGATAACAGAGGCTGGATGGTGCTGGGATTTATGGCCACATTTCATTGTTACTATTTTGTAAGCAACCTTGAATGCATAAGCAACTTCTGTAAAGGATATAGATTTGCTTCATTGATCATTTTGCTGTATAAAAAAATTCATTTTAATTGCAATTGGTTGGTGTGGGTTAGCATATTTTTATTATTTGAAATATTGGAGCCTGACAGTCTTCTCTGGTCAAGAAGTGTGTGTGTGTGTGTGCTATTTATTTCAGCTAGTTTATCATTTCCTTTAATACTCATGTTTATTTTACAATTGCTTAATATTACATTAAAAATAAAGGAAGAAAAATTGTATGTGATGTTATGTCAAGAGGAATATAATCAGACTGAGAAAACAACTCATTAAATTGTGAAAATATTCTTTCACTATAATTATTTTTGTGTATAATTAAAAAATATACATGCATATATATTTTATTGACTTGAATGTGCCATTCTGTTAAATTGTTTTTGTTTTAATGTCTGCCAATAAAACTGGAAATGTTCATTTTGGTTTTATTTGTTTCAAATGTTTATTTTTTTGTTGTTATTTATTGGCATATGAAATATAAAATTCATTGAGAAGACTAACCATATTACCAATATTCTAATTACAACAAATCAATTCCCAATATCATGTCTTGTTTCAAATTAATTAAAGTCCAATATGACCCTATAGATGGTTTACAATACAAGTGAATAATCAATATTAAATATTACAAAAAAATTCATATTTCTTATAAAAGCAATAATTTATAATAATACTTTATTTAAATACTTTACAATATTTTGTAAGTTCTTCACACCTCTGTTTAAACACGAAATCTGTGCTTCACTTTTGAACACAGTGAAAACTTTTCAATTGTCATTGAAATCATAAGATGAGGAAATTGCTTTGAAATATGTAGATGTACATATTAAAAAAAGGATTTATTGAAGAAACCAACAAAAACAAAAACTTCAAATGTTTTGTTTATTAACACATACATTTGTACACATATGATTTTTTGCCACAATATTTCTATAAAAGGGTATCAAAACACATTTTATTACATTATATGCCATTTTCTGAGTACTCGCAATATTTTTTCTATGAACAGACGCATAATAATGTTGTTTACGGTCTTTCTCATCCATATGCACTTAACAGTACTTATCAAAATCGAAGTTTCAAGTCCTCATGTTAATACTGTACATATGATCTCCATAAAGGAATGACACTCAATCCTGTATGGTATTGCATATTCTCTTGGAGTTAATGATGTATCCACAACCATTATGTATATTAAGAAATGTAATGATTATCATTACTATATACATTTGTTTCTCTGTAATACATTTTATGATTAAAACTTTTCAATTAAACACAATTCAAAAATTCTATTCATTTTCATGAACTTGAAGTAATAAAATTTCTGAAAATTGGTGTTTTTCCCAAGCTGGTAAGGGTGTAATCCAATGAATACCTGAGAGGCTCAATATATTGAACCAAGAGATAGATCATAAATCCATAGAAAAGAATCTTGCTTAAGTGATGAACAACAAACATTCTGAAAAGGTAAATAAAAACAACATTTATTTCAGTTACAAATGTTCATTTTCTTATCATCCAATTCATTGTTGTATCATTAAAGTAACCCACATTTTAAGATGTCTCCTTGCTCGAGGAAGAGTTGAAAGAGGTTCTTTCATGCAATACATTCTAGCTCCCAATAGAAGATTCAATAAATACTTCTCCACGTCAAATTCTACATTTGTACTGTAAAATATTTCTCTGTCCTTTGGACAGAGACTCTCAGCTGTAGCTTTAAATTTCTCTATATTGAAAATCCATTGTCTCATGGTGAAATATTGCAGTACTTCCATGCCCACACTAATTCTCTTCTGTAAACGTACCATGCTGTAAAGCAAAACATTTAATATATTCTTGGCTATTGGTGGAGTGTGTTCTTCAAAATACAGATATAAGCTGGTTTTAGTATGAAGATATTTTCTCAGTTAACTTATAATCAAATAAAATTTTACAAATAAATAAAGATTGTCACTAACATTAATACTCACAATGTTTTTTGAAGAAAGAGAAGCATCAAAAAATCTATTAAATAAGCTGGTATTGTTTGAAAGAAGAATACAATTAGGTTATGCACCAAGTGACTGGAACGTATGTTGCCATCTGGATACCATACCACATAATCAAATGGGTACTGGTATGATAATTGACGTCCACGTTCCACAACTTCTCCCCAAGTCACTTTGACAACATCTCCATTAGATACATTAAAAACTGGAGTTTCTTTTACATGTTTCCTGAATGCGATAAATATAGTTAGAATTTTTAGTTATTAAACTAATTAAGAATATGTGATTAAACAATCTTACTTGTTTACAGCTCTGTCCCATGCTGCAACGATCATGAAATTGGTTACTATGTCAACTGGAATAACTTCTGCAAAATAGTCAGTCCCACAAAGCATAGAGCGAATCACGCCTTTGCCTGCTCCCACTGTCAGTCCTATTGGTCCATTCAAAGAGTCCACCCAACCAGGTAATGGTTCCTTAAATGACGGTGACACTTTGGGAAAAAAATAATAACCATAACATTTTTCATCAATAATTCCATTTCAGAAGAATTAATCGAGCTAATAAAAAATTAACAATACCATAGAATTGTAACTTGCATTTGAAAAAAATTAATGATATACAGAGCTTGTTTCAATTGACACACAATTTTTAAGTTTTGTTCTCTTTTCATTCCAATTGATAGATAAAAAATAATTTTTATTGTTGTTGTTGTTATTATTATTATTAATTATTATTATTATTATTATTATTATTATTATTATTATTATTATTATTATTTATTATTATTATTATTATTATTATTATTACTATTTATTATTACTATTATTATTATTATTATATTATTATTATTATTATTATTATATTATTATTATTATTATTATTATTATTATTATTATTATTATTATTATTATTATTATTATTATTATTATTATTATTATTATTATTATTATTATTATTATTATATTATTATTATTATTATATTATTATTATTATTATTATTATTATTATTTTATTATTATTATTATTATTATTATTATTATTATTATTATTATTATTATTATTATTATTATGGATGAATGATAAGTTGCTAACAGTTTCTACTTCATGTGTATACTAGGCAAATCCTTGTGTCTTACACTAAACATGAGTCAACAACTTTTAGTTGTGATTAACGTCGCTTGGGTTTCAATTAACTGCACCAATAGTGTTGGTACAATATTTTGTTATTTCCAAAAACAATAAATTTAATGATGATGTCTTTCATATGGTACCAAGAATTTTGAAATTAATGTGCCAATGACAAACCACAAATTCAAATATACTGAGCTGGATAGGAGAAAAATATTTGCTTTAACAAATTTAGTTCAATTTTTCAAATTTAGTTTTCTATTTAAAGCAGTTGGCATAGTTTCTTAGGGAAATTTACCCACAGTTGAATGATTAGTAATGAACATTATTGCTGTAAAAGTAAGCGGTAATACCTATTATAAGTGTATTGTCTCTTAAATATATATAGTATTACCTATAGTAAGTCACTATAAGAACGGCTCAAAGAAAAAAGAAAAAACAATAACAGGACACTTCATAATAATTTTACCTTCAAAATTCATTATTTTAGACTCTTGAAAAAATTGTTTCTGATATCACAAAAATATATTTAGTAATGTTCACTATTATAATTTTATGAACTGAAAAGTAAACTTTTTTCATTTCTTTATTTTTATTGTATTTCTTTAGTAGATTATCCCCAAACCATACAGATCCTAAAAGAAATGTGAAATAAATAATTGTATATATACACGCACGCATGCACACACACATACACTCACACACACACACCTATACATTGTCTCAGTACCCATTTTGTTTCAAAATTAACTTCATTATCAATATTTTATTGATCACACCATAAGAAACAATTTTGAATGTGTACTAACATGGCTCCTAAAATTATTTTTTATGAAATAGGATATAATAAGAAACAATGATTTGAGATAAAATTCTATTGAAGTAATAAAACACTTTGGACTGAAATAAAATATTCTAATCAAAAATAGTGTTCAATATGTAAGCATATTTTTAACATAAATAGTTAACTTATTCACGGCACCCAGGGCAGTAGGTTTTTTTCTAAATGCATTTATATTTTCAGTTAAATTAAGTTAACTTTCTTAATATTGAATATGTAATTTGTTACCTCTTGTTATCAGAATTCAAGCCCTGAAAAATTCAACTCAAATATGCTGTTGTTGAAACAATATTTGAAGTTCACAGTTATCAACAATGGTAGTGTATTTTATTTATTCCACAGCAATCTAAACAAAGTGTATTAATCAACTTATTCATTTTAACCAACTTGCACTGACAAGGTGTTCTTGCACACAAAAAGCGGAGACGTGTTTCAAAACTATTTTTATGTCAATAAAGCAGTGTGTTTTCTAAACTTTTATGGATGGAAAAAAAGGCGTCTTACTCTACCAAATTTAATATTATCCATAAGTCCATCAATTTTAATACTTTGATGATTCTAACAAAACAGACTTTGAAAATAGATCTTAGTATACAATAAAAAATATTTGTTGACTTAACACAATTTCTGTATTATGTGATTTAAAATTAAAATTGTGTAACTACCCTTCTTATTAAAACTTACCAATTGATGGTCGCACAATTACCACTGGCATTCTTTCTTTTTCCTCATCAACAAGGGTTTCTGCAAGCCTTTTTGAAAAAGTGTAACAGTTTGGATGCTTTCCAAGCAATCTGTTAAGAAAGAATTTTATCACAATTAGACAGAAGAAATATATTATAGCATGTGAAAAAAACTTCTCAAGCATTTTTATTATGAAATGGCAAAACTAATGGTGTTACAAATAGCACAGACTTTCTCATACTAGTTCTCTAATTTCTTTGGTATGGGCTAGTCTTTCAGTCTTGCCCTAATCCTCTCGCCCGCTGTCATCTATTACCACCCTAAGTAATTTTTTTCTGAAATTTTCTCAATTTTTCGGTTTCCTAATGGTAGAACTAAACAATTACTTTCAGAATATTAAAGAAGAGTAAGACCTCACCCTATATGGATTTTCTAGCATATCTGTGATAACAAATCGCCGTTAATGTCAATATTATCAACGTGAGAGAGTTTTCAAAAAATTTATATTTGTATTATTTATGTCTTCCGTGCGTGAAACCGCCCCCTCCGCTTCCCCCACTCGCGGCCTATCCTTCACTCCCGGAGTGTGGGTTCCCTTTTTCTCGGGCTACCGTCCAGAATTAAAGTTTTAGTTGAAAAAACATGTCCAGGCACACTAAAAAGATTTTTAAATTAATTCTAGAGGGCGCACCAGTCGCTCAAAAATGACATTTTTTCGCTATTTTTTACATTATTAACTACTAAGTACAATAATGCCATTCAAATAACATCCCCGATTGGATATGTGGTGCCCAGATAGTAGCTTTTCATGCCCATAACACTCACAAAGCTTAATCATTACATTTCAGTAACTTAAATGTCCCTAGAAGTTACTGCTGTTGGATTTTTTTCATTTTTTAGATATTTTCGTATTTAATCGGTATAACTTCCAATTGGAAATGAGTTCTATGTAAATACGTTAACAAGACAACGTTACATTTTAAACATATGATAGAAACAAGTATAAAACATTAACTTTTAAGATTAAAAAATCCTTAGAAATCGTAATTTTTGTCAATTTTTACCGTTTTTGACATTTATCAACTACTATTTAAGGTGGTATTATTAAAACTTTACCACCTGTTCTATATTTTTGGCCTGCCACATTAGTTTACAAGTTAGTGACTCAAAAAAAGTCACAAACAAAATTTTAGTAACTAAAAATTCCCCAGAATGTATTATTTTCTACATTTTTGCTAATTTTTTTTAACCACCTGAAATAGTGAAACAACTTTTCAAATCCTAATATATAATATATATATATATATATATATATATATATATATATATATATATATAATATATATATATATATTCGTTTTGGTCCACGGAAACTGGCTGCCGTGCAGTGGACCAAAAACGCGGTTCCATAGCTCTCACTTAAGCACTTAACTAGAAATACTAGGTTGAGAGATTGTTGCTTTTTGTTTTCTCTGTGCGCCCTATCGCCCCCCCCCCTCCCTTTTTCGCTTTCTTTTCTTATTATATCATGTTCGACGGGTGACGTCAACGCGGTGAACGGCGGAGGGGTGGGGAAGTGCGTTGCCGGTCGCGACCAGGAGCAATTACGTTTTGGCGAGAAGCGGAGTTGCTGGGTGGAGGCGGCAGGCCGCAACCTTCGCTAAGGTTCTTCTCGAAAATTGAGGGCAGGCCCGCGCCGCCCCACCCCGCCGCGCCGTTTAGTGTTTTTAACATTTGTGAGCATTAGGGCAAGGTGAGCTGTTCGTTTTCTGTATTGCGCCTCGCACGTTTGTACTGAATTGTTTGTAATGAGAATATACGTGTATATTTTCATACAATTGTTGTTTGTGTTTTGTTTAACTACACTGAGATTGCCTTTCCTGGGTATGTGCGAAGCGCTATTTCACACATTTATCAGCGCAGTAAAGTTCCCAGTCTGCTGGGTGTAACGAAGCCGCACCGGCCTGAACTGGAAACAACCATGAAAAGCTTGCTACTTTTTCAAAGAAAAGAACTATATCTTCAGAAAATCAGTACCTAAAGAGTGGAATTTGGTGATATAATTGCAAAAGCTAGCACTGGCACATCTCGTGACGTTCCTGGCGCTACCGATGAACCTGTTCGTCTGAAATTGTTTTTATTAGTAAACTATCAGGCTAGTTTACGATACAACGCACGGAAGTCGTTTAAACAGCCACTTCCCGCCGCCCCGGCGGCAACTGGGCAGTTTGGATTCTGAAGGATTTCTTGAAGAGTGCTTTCTTATAAAAGTGAATAGGTAATTATGCGGTGGATGAACTCAAGGATGTTTATAGTGAACGCGAGGGCCGAAGGCTCGAGCCTCGCCGTGACTTGGATCCGGGCGAGCAAAGCGAGAAAACTTGCCTTTGAAAGTCAATTGGCATTACAATGCGGCGGGACAAAGCGTATGAATGGCGAACCATGAAAATTGCCTATTCGTAAGTTTTATTCATTTCTGAGAGCGCGTGGAGTAATTTGAGGTAGGACTTAAGGAGACCCCCCTCACCCGCCACGCTTCTCTAAGGGTGTACCGTGTACCGTACTTTAACCAACTATCGTTATTTTTTTATCTTATGACTGACACTGCCTGATAGGTAAATCTCGCAGTGACACACTTCTCCCTTCGAACGTAAGGTAAATCGAATACTGTGTAATCGATAATTGTAATGTGCATTTCTATTGTACTCCGTCGGGTACAATACGCAGTTGGCCCATGTACCTATTTTGTTTTGCTGTAATGTGAAACGTACGTGCAAGAGAGGATTTCCTTACGTCGTCGGTGTATACGAAAATATGCACATCTCAAAATTGTAATTTTTAAGTTGTACGAAGGCCTACAGAACTTTTAGTAAAAAATCAGACAAAATAGTATATTTATGCGACAAAAATGAAGTTCACCAGACAGCTGAAATTAAGGGTTAAACAATTTGTCTTTGCTAATAAAAGGTTCTGCTCAGAATGACTGATTTTCTGTAAATTCACATTGTTTTAAATTTTTTTATTGTAGATGTTTCACTTAACTTGTGGAGCGACGAAGTGTCTTTGAACGACAAATAAACATTACTTCCATTGCGTCAACAAACGTTTTTCTGATGGGGAGCGGTACTTTCATTGTTATGTCTATTTTCTAAATATGTTTCACAAATATTCGGGATCAATTATGAAATGTAAACATAACAGTTGGTCAACTTCAAAAAAAAGTTCGCTTATTCCGAAAAAAGTAGGAAGTTTCTGATCAAGAGAAAAACATTCTAACTTAAAAAACGAATGGTAGAGTTTTTTAATATTTCGTGATTCCACAAAGGGAGTTCTATAATTAATGACCATTCATACATGCAATTTGATAATGGTTACAATTTTTAAATAGTATAGCAAAACTGTTGCTATTCGTATGAGTACGTGTTTTTGCTTGATGTATAACTAATACCATTGAAGGATTGATAGTAGCTATAACTATGCACTGACAAAATAGATATGCCATGGTTATAATGCACGAGTGAATTGACGAATAACTTTTCAAATTTCTGAAACAAATTGTGATTTTAGAATACAATTAAATAAGCACAACAGAAATATGATATTCCACTAAAACAATGAACATTGGAAGAATTTACACAAATGTCACTGAATTGCAGATCAAGGTGGTCTGAATAGTTTTCAACATTTAAAGATCCTTCGCATTACCATGTCTGTAAGTGCTTAATTCTGAAAAGGTGAAGTATGTTTTATGGCACCCAGTAAGACGTGACAATTTCCACTTGAAAAATAAATCAAATATATAAGTCACGGCGCTTAGAAATAAAGAAAAAAATCATTCACTGTTCTGAAGTGAAGGAAACGTATACGATTTCATTATACTAGTTAACACTCACAATATGTTCATTTTGGAATACTTTAAATTGTTATATGTGTAACAAGTGATAATATACATTAAAATGTATTGCGCGAGTTATGTGAACACAGTGCATTCATGTTTTTTAAATCTTCCAACATAGAGATACTTTCAAAAAAGAAGGAAATTGAACTCGTTCATTAGTAATATTATATTTTTTAAATCGAAATTACTGATATAAATTCAGGTAACAGTATAGTTTCAACTCAATACAGTCATTTTATTTACGCTAAAATCAGTATTTCATGACTACAGAACGGTCACTACAAAAAGCAGCTAATTTGAGAGTTGTGTTGGGGGTTTCCCCTGCCAAGCTTTTTATATCATAGTTCCCGCAGTTTGTAGGTCTTCGGGGAGTTTCCCACTCACGCTCGCGGATGTAAGACTCGCGCGTAAATACAGATTAAAGAAGTGTCGGTATCCGCAGGCGGGGCGTTGCGAATTCCTGGCATAGACATTTTTATAAGGGACCGCTTTGACAGCTACTGCTGATAACATTACTGCGAGTTAAGACCACGCATTCAATTCGTCAATTCTTTCGTTTAGTTAGTTCATTAGTCAATGGTTTTCGTCACCATCTCTTACAAAGTCATCGCTTTACATGACATTCATTTATTTCCCAACTTGTCAAACCCATTCCTTATTAGAGTAACTTCTCTCTGGCGTGAGGCTGATTTGGTTCAATGGAAATTGCAAGAGAAAGGGAGTGACTTCAGCGTCTACAAGTCTCAAGCAGCAAGTCCTGTTCAGAGTATTGGATGTGGCAGAAGTTTCGATACGTCGCTGCGCGGGATACGGGAAGCGTAAGTCTTCCTTCTCGCGCGCTCGCATCCACAAAAGAAAATGCTGCTGAATGCCGGTGCATTCTTTAAAATGCACGTATTGCAAGTAAGAGCACGATCGATGCCTTGAAATCTCAACAAATGTTATAGTGAACATAGAAAATAAAACAACTCCCAGGGAAAAATACTGCGCCTTAGGACCGCAAATTCTAATAAAGTAAGGGTTTCCAGGCAGAGTATCTCGTAACTTACTTTTCTAGATATACGTCGAATGAAAAAAGAGCAAAGGGAATGTACCACTAAGGTAGAAACCACTAAGGTAGTACTTCTAAGGAAAGATCTATCGACGCTGTCTGCGTGATAAAAAGTAAAATCCCCTCTGGCTAGGAAATCGTAAATGCTGTGGGTCATCCAGAAGAGAAGAAAACGAGATTAACGAAGAGAACACAAATGAAGAAAATGTTCCAACAGTGGAAGGGTGTTAAGTCTCCATTGTGATATTTAGAGTGGAAAATGAAGAATTAAGTGCTAAAAGCACTGACTCTGGAGAAGAATCTTCATAATTTTTTAATAAAAATGTTTACAGCAAACGGTATAAATTATTATTTTAAGACTAAAAGAATATTCTGAAATTTTCAATTCGAAGTGTTTGGATATTTGACTAAAACTCTGAAATAACAAAATCAACAATTGTGGGATACTATTTTATTTTGGCGAGTCGGATACTGTAAACCTCTGATGTTGTGAACTATCATGGTTCTCAATAACAGGAGTCAACTGTAGTTCATAATACAACTAAGCTCACTAAAAATAGCGATGATGAGATTCAGGAGCTCAAGAAATCGCGTGCATATTCTTCGTCGTCCGGCTTGTTCCGGAGCAGTTGGGAAAGCAAGGAGTCGCTATTAGATGTGCGAGATCGCCAACAAAACATCCATGTTTAACATCGACGCTCAATATTAAACCAAAGATTTTAATAAAAC